AGTTAAGGATCTTTTTACTACTGTTAATTCTCATTTAATTATGTGTTTTTTTAAAGAAATTGATTTCATTGATGAATTTGATTAATATGTTATGTAGATGTATTTTAATGATTGGTAGTTTAGATTAGTAACTTAGATTGTTATCGGCTGTACCCTCAAAGGGGGTTGAAGTATTGTAAAATTATTGTCCTCCTGAGAGGGTACATAAGTCCCAATATATTCACAGTAAATTTAAACGTACTACTATTTTTAATCGTAGTATATATGTTATTTTAATCTATGGCTAGATTTATCTAAATTGCTAACGTCTGAAGGGATGGTGTAAATCCGGCTAGGGTCCGTGCAGGTAGCAATAGTACTGTCCCGAAGTCCCGAAGGTCCCTAGCATGGTGATCTCACTTCAGTTGTTTGCAATATATAGCCTGTTTTTATGTTGTATATTGTATTGTCCTAGTTTTAATTACTAGTTTTAAATTGAAAACTGTGATATACTAGTTGTTTTACTGTCCTTTGCTAACAGGTTTTTATAATTTACATTTATTTATTGTAAAATTATAACTTGTTTGTAGTCACGATATGGCTGAAATATTGCCGTTGTGACTTAAAATCTTAACTCACTCACTCGTTAGTACATTATCATCTCCATGTTAGTTAAAACTATATTTGAATGCATGTTCCGAAGACCTTGGACAAACAACTTGTAAGAGCTACCGGCCTATGGTGAGTGCTGTCATTTCCTTTCTTCGTGAATGGGTATTACTAAGGCTTCTGTCCATGAAGAGACGGTGAGGTAGCTTAGTGGTTAAAACATTCTCTCGTCGATTCCCCACATAAGTACAATGTGTGAAGCCTATTTCTGGTGAACCCGCCGCGATAATGCTGGAATATTGCTAACAGCGGCTTAAAACCATACTTACTCACTCACTCTTTACATGTAGAGCGACATATGAATTCTACAAGAGATTCATTAGTAAGTGACCCGTGAAGATCCGGGTTAGAATGAGCCTTCAGTAACCCATGCGTGTCGTAAGGGGCGACTAACGGGATCGGATGGTCAGGCTCGCTGACTTGGTTGACACATCAGTTCCCAATTGCGCAGATCGATGCTCATGCTGCTGATCACTGGGCTGTTTGGTCCAGACTCGATTTTTTACGGCCATAATGCTGGAATTTTGCTGAGTGCGGCGTAAAACTAAACTCACTCACTCAATAGCAAGTGAAGGTATCAGCAATGTCGGTCGCTATCGATAAATTATTTCATATTTTCATTACTTATGCCGAAAGCCGAATATCGCATACTTCTTTTGTGGAATGATCAATGTGAATTAATGGTAATATATCAATAATATCAGTTTATCAGGAAATTTTACAGTTGCCTTTCAGCAAAATGGTCTTAACTGGCTTCAGAAATTGATTGGGGGTCATCACACAAAATAAAATGGTAATAAATTGTTTGAAAAGCACCACAGTTTTGTTTCTTGTTAATATATTGTTAGACTCAGCAAATCTCCAGCTGGATGACGGTGGTCTATAAACAGTCGACCAGATAATCCGGTGGTTGCCATCATGAGCATCGATGGATGCAGTAGGACGGGATGACATGCATCAACCAAGACAGCAAGCCTTACCACCCGATCCTGTTACGACCGTCGTGGGTTGCTGAAGATCAGTTCTAACCACAGACAAATCCATGAGAAATATGTACAATTTAGCATGCCTTGGTCTCTAGGGCCTAGATTTTCGAAGCTCTCTTAGCGCTAAGATAGTCGTAAGTTAATGTTAATGTATGGCACTTACGACTATCGTAGCGCTAAGAGAGCTTCGAAAATCTAGGCCCAGGAACATATCTGTAAATAACTATAGAGACGATACTCGTTAATAAATATAGAGGCTGCTGGGAAACCTAGTGGTTTAAAACAATATCTCGTTTAATCCACTTCATTTACGCTGGGTCATTGTCCCATCCGCAAAAATGTGTCAATTACATGGTCATTTGACCACAAGCTGCACAACAAATATGTTGTTACATTTTTTCTCCTTGCAGTCAAGGAGTCAATGTCATAAATGCTAATCACGGAACTGCCGTTATGCTAATTGTGGAATTCAAATAGTTACAAGAACTTTATTCCTACTTATAAGCCCTTGTTCTTTATCATATGACCAGTGATTCGGTTATGAATTGGTCTTTTGCAACCCACGCTTGTCGTAAGAGGTAACTAACGGGATCCGCTAGTCCCCCTCACTGACTTGGTTGACACATGCCATCCTATCCTGCGCAGATCGATGCTGCATTGTTGATCACTGGATTGTCTGGTCCAGACTTGATTATTTACAGATCGCCGCGATATAGCTGGAAAATTGCTAAGTGCGGCGTTAAACAACAAACAAACGAATCTATACACCTGGAACTTAATTAAGCGCCCCCTGATATATTTCATGATAGTAGAGCAACTGTTAACCATCGTTAAACATGAATGATATCTCTGTATTACAACACATCTCTAGTAGCCTAAAAAGGTGTTTCAGTTCCTTTGCACTCGTCACAACGCATCCCTTGTGCACGTGAAGCATACAACCCACACTTTTCCCAAAATTCAGTTTCTCTGACATGCAATTTATGGGTATAAAAGCAGACAAATTTGTAACTGTCTCCATTAATGAATACTGAAATGGCGAGGAGAAGACTTTCTGAAGCAATAAGGTGGCAAATTGTCGGCATGCATGCAACAGGCATGTCCTTCAAAGCTATTGGACGACAACTGGGCTACAGTCACTCGGTCATCAGCCGACTTGTCCGAAAACATCAGATGACAGATTTGAGAGATCGTCCAAGGCCTGGACAACCCAGGAAGACAACTGCCCGTGATGATCGCAGCCTGGCACGTCTGGTAAGGCGAGAACCCTTTGCCACAAGTTCGGTTTTGAAGCGCCTGTGGTTACCCTACAGACAATTATCCACCAGAACCGTCTGAAATCGCCTTAGGGCACTTGGTATGAGGTCCAGAAGAGTCATGAAACGTCCTGCTCTGTCTGATCTCCTTAAGAGACGACGTCTGGAGTGGTGTATGGCCCGTCGCCAGTGGAACCTGAGGACATGGAGGATGGTCCACTGGTCAGATGAGAGCAGGTTCCTCCTCCACGTTACAGATGGTCGAATGAGAGTGTGGAGGCATAAAAACACTGCTTACGTACCCAGGAATATCCAGCCTACTGTTCCTTATGGTGGAGGATCGGTTATGATCTGGAGTTGTCTTTCACACGACTGTAAACTTCAAATGGTGACTGTCCGAGGAAATCTTGATGGTCAGCAGTACATCCGGGATATTCCCCATCCAGTTGTCGTGCCTCACTTTGACAACCACCCGTTGGCTACTCACCCGATATTCATGGATGACAACGCCAGGCCGCATCGTTCACGTGCTGTGACCGCACATCTCAAGAATGAGGCTATCATGACATTACCTTGGCCAGCAATGAGCCCCGATTTGAATCCTTTGGAGCACATCTGGGACTTTCTTGGACGCCGTGTGAGGTTGAGAGAACCCCCTCTCCAGCATCTTGCACAGCTGGAAGCTGCTTTGCATGAAGAATGGCTGCAATTGCCAATTGATCGTATCAGAAGGTTTACCAGTAGCATGATGAGGAGGATTCAAGCTGTCATCCAAGCACGTGGGGGATACACCCGATACTGATGCCAGACCCATCAGATGTTAACATGTGACATTCCTTGTGCATCATTTCTTGTAATAGTCAGCCATTGACAATGCTACGTCCATACTTGTTCAGTGACTATTTCATCAAGAATCAATAGTGACCAAATCACATTGGTTACGCTATTAAAACAACACGTATTGGAATCATTGTCTTGTTTTTCATTTGCCAATAGATCGTATGTTTCACAATAGCTAAGGTTCCACTATCTTTGGAATAGTGAAAGAGTTACAGCAAGTTTTGTTTCTCATCATCCAGAAAATAGGGGGGGTGCTTAATTAAGTTCCAGGTGTATATATCATATTGGTGATCACAACATATAGATATATTTTTTTTAAAACAAATTTTAAGTATTTTTATTTCCCAAAGTACATTTGGTGTTTTCATAATACTTTGTACAAAACATCAAACACAACATCCTCGTTATCAATTTGTTGTTGTCATAATACATTGTACAAAACGTCATACAAAACATCCTCGTTATCAATTTGTTTTTGTCATAATACATTGCACAGAACATCATACAAAAACATCCTCGTCATCAACATTGTGCAAGCATCATCATCACCATCAATACAAACAATCATCATCATATGTTCAGGGTGGATTTACTATAATGTATCTGTTATCTTTGCCCAGGGCTAATATGTATAAAACATATAGATATATTGTATCACGTAAATTGCAAGTGATTCCATTCCATTTCATGGGCTAATCAAGCAATTTGTTTCCATTTATGTTTCCGTTAGGCCACGCTCACAAGCGGTCTTCTTTCATAGGGGGCGGAGGTAGCCTAATGGTTAAAGCGTTCGCTCGTCAAGCTGAAGACCCGGGTTCGATACCCTAGGTGGATACAATGCGTGAAATCCAATTCTGGTATCTCCCATGGTGATATTGCTGGAATATTGCCAAAAGAGGCATAAACCCCGACTAAAACATCTGAAGCCTTGTGTTGGTTTAGAATACCTGAAACGTAACCAACAATGCATGCTTGACAATAATTCATATTTCACATGTACACGTTTTTCAATCTCCTAAAATATGCCGCCATTTGATGTACAATTGTAAAGAAATATTCTATTTGACTAAAATGTTTGACAAAACATATTTTATCAATATACATCTTATGTAAGGACCCAAGTTGATCATTACCCAAGATTCATGTCAGGTTTCATTCAAGTCCGTTCCATTTCTTCCCATAAGGAACCAATCAGACAGACGGCCTAATCACTCAAAGAAACGGCCGCACCTATATCCGAAATTCTTTTATAGCCCACTGACACGGTTTATCTGCCTTGTTCCTTGCACCAGCTCACCTGACCACCATGCTTCGTGCTGTTGTTATTGCTGCTCTCCTAGCCGGTAAGTGAATCAGCTTTATCTGGAAGGACCGTCACGAGTGATGTAGATCGTAGACATTTGACATTTTAACAATGATACGTCCATTCGCTACAGCCATTCTTCCATCCTACGATCCCTGAAGATCCACGTTTAAATGATCTTCAGCAACCCATGCTTCTGGTGGGATAGCCTAGTGATTAAAGCGTTCGCTCGTCACGCCGAAGACCCGGGTTCGATTCACCACATGGGTACAATGTGTGAAGCCCATTTCTGGTGTCCCCCCGCCGTGATATTGCTGGAATATTGCTAAAAAGCGGCGTAAAAACCATACTCACTCACTCACTCACTCACTCACTCACTCACTCTCGTAAGAGGCGACTAACGGGGATCGGGTGGTCAGGCTCGCTGACTTGTTTCACACGTCACAGTATCCCAATTGCGTAGGTCGATGCTCATGCTGTTGATCACTGGATTCTCTGGTCCAGACTCGAATATTTACAGACCGCCGCCATATAGCTGGAATATTGCTGAGTGCGGTGTAAAACACAACTCACTCACTAACTCACTCATTTTGCTGGAGTGATTCTAAAAGCGGCTTTACGCTCACTCACTCATTTCTGTTACAATGATATGTTTGCATCTATGTAACTATAGGAATGAATAAAATTGTATTGATAAACATTATTTTCTAAAACGTTATTTAATGTTAATATAATTAGACAAACTCCAGGTTTCATTGTGTACTTCTTTACGACCCAAGTCCAGCAAATTGGTTGGTAGGAAGACTTTGAGATGCCACTCTGACAACAGTCAGAGTAGGTATTGGATATATAGATTCCTAACCGCAAAAAGATCGTCGGTTCATATTATTTATTCTATATCCAGGTAACCTAGATCGTGACTGGTATTTGCTATTTCTGCAAGGTGATAAGACACGTGTGGCCCTCTGATAACAGGCTGTATTCTGTCATGGAAACCTTAGGGTGAGTGAGTGAATTTAGTTTTACGCCGCACTCAGCAATATTCCAGCTATATGGCGTCGGTCTGTAAATAATCGAGTCTGGACCAGACAATCCAGTGATCAACAGCATGAGCATCGATCTGCGCAATTGGGATACGATGACATGTGTCAACCAAGTCATCGATCCTGACCACCTGATCCCGTTAGTCGCCTCTTACTACTAGCATGGGTAACTGAAGATCAATGTACTAACCCGTACCTTCACGGGTCCATTAACCTTAGACACTCTGACGCCAGATTCCAATCTGTCCGTCAAAACCGTAGCTATCATTTCCACTTTGACTTGAACGTATGTCTGTGGTAGCAAATCTAACAAATGTGGCGTCCATCGTGGAATCTAGTTCTTTAACGCATATCATAAAATTATGCCAAATTAAAGAACCTGTTGAACTTTCCAAAAACGTGGTCATTTTTTTGATAATACATTTTGTACTGTTCTTTACAAGGCCGGTTTTGGTTAAAAACAGTCAGTGTGCAGAATCATAGTATTTGTGCAGCTTCGTTACATTATGTGACGAGTTCTGAAGTATGCCTACGTCTACACACATGCATATGTATATATTTCCGTGTATGTTTGTTATTCCTACCGCATGAAATATTGGTGGCATGCTCATCGCAAGGATCTGGCATCTTTGAGGGTGTTGTGAAACATGGTTATTCTCTAACTTAATGTAGTGTTAAATTTGGACATAACCACAATGACACACACACACACACACACACACACACACCACCACCACCGGATTAGATTTGATCTTCAGCAACCCATGTTTGTCGTAAGGGACGACTAACGGGATCGGGTGGACTTGATTGACACATGTCATCGTATCCCTGTTACGTAGATTGATTCTCATGGTGTTGATCACAGGATTGTCTGGTCAAGAGTCGATTATTTACAGACCACCGCCATATAGCTGGGACATAGCTGAATGCGGCGTTAAACAACAAACAAACAACATTTGATGGTAGCTGGAACAACCTCTATATTTAAATTTCAGGAGTTGTCTTTGACATACATCAGCAGAGATAGATCATATACTTACTCAGACTCGGCCTTATTGCTATTGTGGTTGCTTTTCAGTGTGTTCGACACAGTTGGCGAACATATTTGGCCGCTACTCCTGTCGTTATGTCAAAAACAGGGACTGCGATAACGAGCGGGAGCATGAAGAATGTGCCACTGACGGCGTCACGTACAGAAACTTGTAAGTCCAGGTTCAGTTTCATAACTACAGAACGTGACATCGTGACACGTCACTTCTTGTTTTAATCAAATCCAAAAGAAAAGAGACACTTTGATCCACGCCACTTAGTATTTCAGGTATTTCATACCGTTTCGTCTTGAGTGAGCGTGAGAGAGTGAGTTTAGTTTTACGCCGCATTCAGCAACATTCCAGCTATTTGGCGTGGGTCTGTAAAAGATAATCGAGTCTGAGTCCTACAATCCAGTCATCATCATCATGAGCACAGATATAAGCAATTACGATGTGTCAACCAAGTCAGTGAGTCTGACGTTAGACGTTAGTCGCCAATTCTAAGCTGTATCGTCACGGGTTGTTTCGTCTTAATATGGTGAGGTGAGGTGAAATGGGAATGGGGTTTAACGTTGCACTTAAGAATATTTCGCTCATATGACGACGTGCATGCGTGTGTATGTGTGCCTGTTTATACGGATCTTTATCATAGCTTAAAATGTATCGTTCAAAATTATTTAATTCTGATTGTGTTAATAATAATAGAACATAGATACATTTGTATTCATTTGTGACCCACTCTTGTGATCAGCCATGAACAATCTGGCTGGTTGCCATAGCCAATCTGACACGGTCCAAAATTGCTCCAAACTGTTTTTTACTTTTGATGCAGGTGCGCGTTCACCAAGGCCCGTTGTGGTGGAAAGGATATTGACATCGCTTTCCGTGGGAAATGTGACAACCGCCCAACGACTGGTGGACAAGGAATAACAGGGGAGGAGGCAGTTCTCGACTACTTCTGTGTCGAATTGTCTCACCAGAGTTGTCCTAACGACACCGAGACACTGTGTGGTACCGACGGCAAGACCTACGCCAATGTGTGAGTTTGTTTGTCTTTTGTTTAAAGCCGCACTCAGCAATATTCCAGCGATATGGCAGCGGTCTGTAAACAATCGAGTCTGGACCATACAATCCAGTGATTAACATCATGAGTATCGATCAACGCATGTAGGATGGCATGTGTCAAGTCAGCGATCCCGTTAGTCGCCCTTTACGACAAGCATGGGTTGCTGAAGACCAATCCTAACCCGGATTTTCATGCGATGTGTCCGTAAAATATCAAGTTACGGATACATTCCTAGATCCCAACGCTTTTGATCATGACATTTTCGGCATCAAGAACATGGGCTAGTGCAAGAAATTAAGTGTTTCACAAACTTTGGGGTAAAATATACTAATTTAAAAAAATGAAAAAAATGTACAAAGTAATTAAAACTCCACACTTCCCATCTACTCCCACTATCATCCCTTACATGTATAATGATTATAACAAAGATCATGTGAATTATTATTATTCATATCGATTACACTTGTTCTTTGCTACTCAGCAGGGAGAAAGGAGATTGGGTGGTCAAAATATCTAACCTGGTTGTGTGACGGTAAGGTGGATCTAGATGTTCGAAATTCTGATTCGAATTCATCCTAAATACAGCAAGACAGATGATGTTATAGTCATTAAGATCTTGTTCCATAATGAATGTCTAACAAAGAATCTTTATTGTAGGTGTGAATACGAGAAGACCAAGTGTACCCACCGCGATCTCCACGTAGCTGACTTTGGCGCCTGTTCAAGCTAGGTAAGGTAAGAGTGAGTAAGTATAGTTTTACACCGCTCTGGGACACCAGAAATCGATTTCACACATCAGTCAATAACAACAATAATGAGCACCTTCCTTTTACCCCGGTCACCGGTCACCCCGGTCAATGGATCACAGTGCTGTCAAATCTCATTCTCAAATCCCTGGCAAGTATACAGCCCAAGCTGCATATGAGGCGCTGGAGCGTCTAACAGTCAGCTCATCCTACCGGGTACCTGCTGAGTGAACAGATTCATATTTCGAAAAATTAACTTGTCTGAGGACATTTATTATAAATTTAAGTACGTCTAATCTACCTTATATTTCCTCAGTACCAATACTGATGGTTATCCAAAGTTAGGGAAATATTATAAATGGAGATGTGTATACGAAAAAGAGGGTCATAATTCTTGTATTTCCCCAGCCAGACCGAGCGTAACACGTAAATTCTTACACGAGTCTTTTTTTCATATTATCCCTTATTTCTTAATCCGTTAGAGCCCCTCTTTAGAAACATGCACTGCTCTAGGTTGCCGTCTTACAAAATACATTTGTTGAATGACGTCAACGAGTGTCTTTTTCATATTATCCCCTATTTCTGAAACCTTGAGGCCCTTTTTAGAAAATGCGCTGATCCAGACTGACGTCTTAGAAAAACACAATTATTGAATGACGTCAACACCTTGTGAAGTGTGACGTTCTTTCTTGTGTAACGTAACGAATGACCTAAATATTTCACTGCCTTGTCACTGACAGGCATACCCAAAGCGCATGGCACCCAGTTAACGGACCAGTGTCTAATTAGATGCCATTCTCGACTCTGACGAAACATATCCTTTAGGGCGTAAACTTACACCAACGCAGAACCTTCACCCACAAATACAAAGAGAATATGTCCAAAGATATGAAATCTAAGCAAACAAATTAATTCCACTTTCCATTTTTTCAGATGAAAACAGTGACTTGCAGTCTTCGGCGTCTAGTGCTGCAGTTCGAAACAAAACACAGTCTTGAATAAAGCTTGGCTATAGAATTAAAGCCTGATATAAAACAGCTGTTTTGTATTTTTCTTAACCTCGATGGGGATAAATAGAGAAATCCATTGACATGAAACGAGTCATTTGAATATCAACTAATAACGTCATAATGACGTCAGCGCACTGTGTGTTTACAAACCGGGACTATAGAGGTTCCATAAGCAAAATATGACAAGTACGTCAATAAACAAAACAGGCTTTGGTACGCCTTAAAGTACGCCCCTATGGTGTTGAGTGAGTGAGTGGGTGTTTTTAAACCTCTTTGATAATTATTACAGCTATATCAGAAACATCAGAAAAGGGCTGCAGACATCGTACCCATGCGGGGAATCGAACCCGGGCCTTTTTTAACGTGACGAGCGGACGCTTTAACCACTAGGCTACTCCACTACGTGATACAAATACAAAGACGATGACCTTGAAGCGATGGCGGGCATAAGGTCATACTAAGGCGATGGTGCACGGGTGTTGATGTAGAGGTGATGATGCACACACGCTGACGTAGAGGCGATGATCCACAGATGATAACGTAGAGGCCATTATGAACAAACTTTGATGAACAAACGTTGACGTCGAGGCAATGATGCATACACGTTGATGAAGAAGCGATGATGGACCCGTTGACGTAGAGGCTATGATGCACACACTTTGGCGTAGAGGCGATGATGCACACTCATTGACGTGGAGCTGATGATGCGCAAACTATGACGGAGAAGCGATGAAGCATACACGTTGACGTTAGCGGCGATGGTGCACACATGTTGATGTAGAGGTATACATATTAACAAAGAGGCGATGGTGCACACACGTTGATGTAGAGGCGATGATGAACACGTTGACGTAGAGGTGATGTAGTACATACGCTGAAGTAGCGGCGATGATGCACACACGTTGACGTAGCGACGATGATGCTCTCACGGTAATGTAGAGGCGATGATGCACACACGTTGATTTTAAGGCGATGGTGCACACACGTTGACAAACAAGCGATGGTGCACACATGTTGATGTAGAGCCGACGATGAACACGTTGACGTAGAGGTGATGTAGTACATACGCTGAAGTAGCGGCGATGATGCACACACGTTGAAGTAGCGGCGATGATGCACTCACGGTAATGTAGAGGCGATGATGCACACACGTTGATTTTAAGGCGATGGTGCACACACGATGACTTTGAGGCAATGATGCAAACGCGGTAATGTAGAGGCGATGGTTAACACACGATGACTTTGAGGCGATGATGCACACACGTTGATTTTGAGGCGATGATGCACACACGTTCACATAGAGCCTATGATGGACAAACGATGACGTAGTGGCAATGATGCACTCACGGTAATGTAGAGGCGATGGTTAACACACGATGACTTTGAGGCGATGATGCACACACGGTAATGTAGAGGCGATGGTTAACAGACGATGACTTTGAGGCGATGATGCACACTCGTTGATTTTGAGGCGATGATGCACACACGTTGACGTAGTGGCAATGATGCACTCACGGTAATGTAGAGGCGATGATTAACACACGATGATTTTGAGGCGATGATGCACACACGTTGACGTAGCGGTGATGATGCACTCACGGTAATGTAGAGGCGATGATGCACACACGTTGACGTAGAGGTGACATAACGGCAATGATACACACACTTTTACGTAGAGACCATGGTGGACACACGTTGACATAGAGGCGATGAGGCACACACGCTGACGTAGTGGCGATGATGCACACACGGTGATGTGGAGGTGATGATGCACATGAGTTGATGTAGAGGTGATGATACACACATGTTGACGTAGCGGCTATTATGCACACACGGTGATGTGGAGGTGATGGTGCACACATGTTGACATAGTTGCGATGATGCACACACGGTGATGTGGAGGTGGTGATGCACATGAGTTGATGTAGAGGTGATGATACACACACGTGGACGTAGCGGCTATTATGCACACACGTTGACATAGAGGCGACGAGGCACACACGCTGACGTAGCAGCGATGATGCACACACGGTGATGTGGAGGTGATGATGCACATGAGTTGATGTAGAGGTGATGATACACACATGTTGACGTGGCGGCTATTATGCACAGACGGTGATGTGGAGGTGATGATGCACTATAGTTGATGTAGATTCGATGATACACACACGTTGACGTAACGGCGATGATGAAGACACGTTGACATAGAGGCGATGAGACACACGCGGTGATGTGGAGGCGATGAGGCACATGAGTTGATGTAAAGGTGATGATACACACATGTTGACGTAGGGGCGATGACGCACACACGGTGATGTGGAGGTGATGATGCACATGAGTTGATGCAGAGGTGATGATACACACACGTTGACGTAACGGCGATGATGCACAGACGGTGATGTGGAGGTGATGATGCACATGAGTTGATGCCAATAGACCAAACGCTAAATATGTTTGGACCGTATAGACACTTGACAACCCATCTCATTTGAAACAATAACACGAAAAATACGAAAATGGGTTTTACAAGCATGGAATGCCAAGACGTTGCCATAGCTCCCAGGCCTTGACAAAATGTCTCAATTCAGTCGCTTCCTCACATGGGTACAATGTTTTAAGCCCATTTCTGGTGTCCGCCGCCCTGATATTGCTGGAATATTGCTAAAAGCGGCGTAAAAGGCAACTCACTCACTATTAACCTCTCGATATTGCTTGTGTTCTTGCAGATTTGTCCATCTGGTGTACGGTTCATTCCATTGTCAGTGCTGACCTCGATGCTTGCATCAAAAAATAATTCTAACGCCGCACTCATCAATTTTAAAGTTCTCCGGTACAAGACGACGATGTGGAAAAGGTCAAATCTGTCCCGAACAGTCCATTGATCGATCAACAAATCACCAAGCTTTACCACTCGATCCTGTGGGTCGACAAGCATGGGTTTTTGAAGACCAATTCTATCGACATTCTTCAATACGGAGGATGTCTGATAAGTTCAAAGTCGCAGCTATGGTGATAACAGACTACTGCGAATACCTGATCACCGTTTAACATGGTTGCCCATTGGGCACAAATACAGCAAGGAACGTATTGCACTTCATAGATGTTAAGGGTGTTTGTACAACCTTCGTTGATTGGCCCCGATGCTTTCCTCCAACCATTGTAGAAAGCTGAAATTCTATTGGTGCAATGAAGAGAGCACCTAGGTTTCTGTTAGAGCGGGAGGTCAACGTTCACTCAGGATCTCATTCGTCACCACTCGTCCCTTTCCGTAACCGGTATCGGTATTCGGCTTGTCCCGGAATACCGTGAGTGGGTCACAAATGTCAGAATTTAGCAGACTGTGGAGGTGATGTCAGATCTTCGGAAACAGAGATAACTTATCGGAGTAAAATGCTGGAACATTCCACACTAATGCCAACTGAAAACTTCGGGTTCCAGTTCTAAGTTATTGTTTGAACAATTTTAGTCACAAAAGGGTGACATGGAATCGGAAAATGGTTACGGTACATTGTCACCATTTGAGTGAGTGAGTGAGTGAGTTTAGGTTTTGCCGCCTTTAGCAATATTCCAGTAATATCACGGCGGGGGGACACCAGAAATGGGCTTCACACATTGTCCCAATGTGGGGAGTCAAACCCAGGCCTTTGGCGTGACGAGCGAACGCTGTAACCACTAGGCTACCCCACCGTCCCGAAAGTGAATAAAACGCATGACGGTAATCACGGTAAGATAGAATCTGTGAAACAGGCAAACTAACGGTTATATCCGCCATTGCTGTATTCCTGTTTCAAGATGTAAATTGTGAGTTTTACTTTAATTTTGGAAGATTTCCAACTTTTACAGAAGTTGATGTCTATAGACCCGTGAAGATCCGGGTTAGAATTGGTCTTCAGTAACCCATGCTTGTCGTAATAGGGATCGGGATCGGGGAGGTCAGGTTCGCTGACTTGGTTGACACATGTCATCGTATCCCAATTGTGTAGAACGATGCTCATGATGTCAATCACTGGGTTGCTCGATCCAGACTCGATTAATTACAGACTGCCACCATAAAGCTGAATATTGCTGAGTGCGACGTTAAACAACAAACCAATCAATATTTCACATGTATACCATGCGATCGAATAAATATTGTATAGATTTTTCTTAGGATTAGCCAGTTCATGGTGAAAGTCAGTTGCTCCATAGAATGAACCATATTTGCAACTGACCTTATAATACAGTTTTGTTAATTCCAATGTTAGGGTTAGGAGCCACCGAATCATGAGGTTCAAGCGGTCAAATTCTGCAACGTATTTGACAGCCTTCCTTAAATATTTTAATTTATATGTAGTTCAAACTAATTTAGAATGAAATCGGTTCGGAATGCAGCCCTCTTATCAATGTTCACCTGACGCCATTGAAACTATGTCCCACATTTGACTGTAGTGATGTTGTTCGCAGTCGGAAAACAAGCACCTGTTCAGAAACTAGGTGTTGAAATATATAAGACTATGCTTTGGATTTATGTGTGTATTCACTTTCGTGATGCATGTATTCAGCTGTTTTCTCTGATCGTTAAGTTGAAACAGGCTTCCAAATGTTCCCAACACTGACGGGTGAGTGAGTGAGTGAGTATGCTTTAACGCCGCTTTTAGCAATATTCCAGCAATAACACGGCGGGGGACACCAGAAATGGGCACATCATACCCATGTCGGGAATCGAGCCCGGGTCTTCAGCGTGAGGAGCGGGTGCTTTAACCGTTAGGCGGTCCCCACCATCCCTTCCAACACTGATGACTAATCCTTTGAAACTAAACTATTTTGTGATAAGAATAATTTCTGTCATAGTGTATCATGCAGGATTAAGAAGCAACCCCATATCAAAAGGAACCACTTTAATGTTCAAAGTGTAGATAGAGGCATTTACTCTCAACACATACTGGCTTTTACTCATACATTTAGTTCAATGACTCCTGCTAATGCAAGTGAATCTCATAACAACACCTGTGAGTCAATGAACCATATATAAGCGGTGTGGCACTC